ATGCCTGTTCCCATGGCGCCAAACGCCGCCACCACACATGCACATATGAGCGCCCACACACACGGACACGCATGTAGAGTAAATACACATGGTTTATGTAATAAACTGCAGAGCTGGCATTAAGCTGCAGTTACCACAGATGGATGGAAACACGAGGCGCTTTACGCACCGCCGGCTGAACGTTTCATACGTTTGCAGCTTCCAGAGAAGGAAATAAATTATTGTGATTTCTGGAGTTATAAACAACATTACACAACGCTTCGGTAGTGCCTCCGATTTTTGACTGTGGCAAAAAGAAATCCATCATAATCATATCAGTGTAACAGCATCAGGAAGTGTGAAAATGAAGAATCATCCCCAACGAGAAGATTGTCAGAAGATCAGAACCAATCGATGAAAACAACGATGGACACACTTCCTGTTGGGCTCATGAGCTTTGTGAGGCTGTCGTTTCAGCTTTTTTAATCTGGCTGTGACGGTCTGAAGTTTGGAAGAGTTCAAAGGTCTCAGCAAAACCTCAAAGAGCTCCCTGTAGGTGGAGGAGGAGGTGGGGTTGGTGGATGGGTCAACCAAACATCAGACTGTAACGTTCGTGTTTCTTCATTTCCTTTATGGTTTAATATCACTTCAATCTTCAGCCTTTACAAAACAAAAAGCTGCTCTTAGTTTCTATTTCAGGTTACACACCTGAGTGACCTTTGAGTGAGGTCAAAGGTCACTCATCATAGTGACCAAATGAATATACCTGAGAGCAGAGAGAGGAGGAGAGAGACTCTAAAGAAGGAGTCGAGAAGTCGAGCAAAGCAAAATATTAGATCAGATCAAATTTTAATGAGTCCTGTGGCAGAGCGGCTGTGTACGGGTAAACACGCCGCTCTGCTCAGCTCCATGTTTGTTCACCCGAGCCGTGTCCAAACACACACCGATTAGGATGTTTAACAGCTGGAGTCGGTGTGTCTGAGAAGACTCCGACACGGCTGTTGACCTTCTGGAACATTTAATTTAGGAAACAGGATGGAGAGAGTGCCAGGAACTCGTTCCCCCGAGCCGATGATTTCAGGGAAACGACGATTCCCTCCAGCTCGGAGGTGTTTACCCAATAAGACTTCTGTTT